AGGTAGTTAAAGGGTAGGGGATAAATACACTATAATAATGAAAGGGAAAAGCTTTAATTTTGTATAGATGTACAACGAGAGAAGTTGGTAGATGGGTGTTAATACATCTGGACCTTGCCGTTGGCTGTAGCAGATGTGGTTTGATTTGAAAACCACTTTATCCAGATGTAAACACCATGAAACTCAAAGGGAGCATCAAAGCCATAAAAAGACAAAAAAAATATGTAAAAATAAAAAGCATATATTTACAAACGCAATATGGTTCTACATATCTTGCTAAAAGAGAGTCCTTTAAAATGTTATGGAAAATACTATTCAAATGGAATTAAGATCTCCAGTTAGCAGAGTTTACTAAAGCAGTTTCAGCAACAATTGCCATGATAAATACATTCCATTTCAAGATGCAGACTTGCTAGCTTTTGTACCCAGTGTTCTGAACCCCCGCTTAACAAAGCACCCTCACTCTATGCTGCGCACTCACTGGTCTTAAGCACAGCTACTGCTAGTGACGGGACTCAAGTGCCAGCACATTGTTGGTAATCACCATCTGTAATCTGAATGCCAGCTGCTGCCTTTGTTTTCTCATCAAATGGAGTAGACAATTAGTGTTTACATATAAAGTGGCATTTCTGATTTTCTCAGTTGGACGACATTTATTACAAACCTACAAAGAAGCTGGCAACTTGAAGCAAACTTTTTATGGAGCGAGAGACTGGCAAACAAACACATCACATACATGAAATTTATAACCATAAACATAAACCGGTTCAAATGTGTTCACCTACATATATGCACAGTTTTAAAATACATACAATCAGAGAAAAGACAGTTTGCTATTGTTAATAGGTCAGCCATTACCAGTATATGATTTGCTGTGCAGTCTTCATAGAAGGTGCATTTCTATTTATTTTTTATTAAATAGTAAGCCACCACCATCACTTCTGTACTGGGAATTGTTACAAAGATAGTAAATGAACAAGAGAACATGTGGGACACAGCATAATACTAAGAACCAACTTCCAATTTGGCGAAGGGCAGCATTTAACCTTGTATAATTTCATGTGCAACACTTTAGAGGCAGAGGTTTGCTCAAAGCAATGTGTTGTATTGCACAGTACAGCATAAATTTATTTAGCATTTGCTATTTTTAACCCTGTATGCTTAGAGAAGGGAAGATTTGTTATCCAACATTATCACATATACAACCTTATCACACAGCACCCATCTCTGTGAACCTTACTTGTTTCATTTGGCCTTCAGACACTCCTCCTCTGTAGTAGATGATACGGGTGGGTTTAAAGCGCGTTGATTTGTAGAATTGGATTAGGAGTTCGCGCACCATGTTGCTCAGATCTTGAATGACTTCTTGACTGTACAGAAGTTCTTGTGTGGTCTCCTGGCGGGATGTCTGAACACGAACAGTGGCACAGTATCGGCTGGGATGCCCATCCATGCTGCCTACCACAGCAGCAATAGAAGGCTTCTTGCCATCTCCAGCTGGGGGGTGAGTGACATCTGCACCCAGGAATATAACGGGTTGTTGGAACACAGAGGGCCTGCATTCAGAATACACATATTAACAGAGATATACTACGGCACAAAAGAACCAAGAATTTAACATTTTCATGGTGAGTGCTAGCTTGGAGAAAGCCACAATGTATTCACCTCAAAACTAACCCGGACACAGGAGGTTTTGGCATTTCTCTAAGTATTTCGACCATCTGGAATTTTCCATATGTATTTGTGGAAACATTGATGGGGCATAGTTATTTACTCAATGTATCCCATTTTCTTGTGCAGCTCATTAACCAGACTCCTGTTACAGATGTTGGCATTCTGACATTAGCAATTGGAGTAGTAAACGAAGAATTAAAGACAATAAATCATACATTTTAGATAAGCTCCAACAAAGATACAAGGAGCCGCATGTCCTTGCCTATGAACTTTTTTTGTGTTTCTTCATGCATTTATTTTTTTTGAAATTTGAAACCCAATACAGATTGTATTTAAAAAGCATGCTCTGAAATTAAAGTGAAACTGTAGGCACGAAACCTTTTTCAAATCATTGAATTGGTTATAGTCCTGCGAGTCCCCTGATATGGTCACGTATTCAATGTTAGATAGTTTTCAAACACGAACGTTACAGTGTCTCTTTTAAGGTACCCCATTCACAACTACATTGTGTTGGCTCATTTTTTATAAATCTCTTTGCCTAAACGAATTAAAAACAGAAAAGAAAAAAAAAATCCCACAAACTTGCAAGAAACCAATGCTTATCCATTTTAAGATTTTAGATATTACCATTTTTTATGACCAATATGTGCTAAAGTCTTCCATATATTTGTGGGGGGATGGACTTAAAGGAATCCCTGACCCTATAGTGTTAAAACCACCATCAAGTGCTCCCCCTGCCCCTAAATAAAGTAAAATCTTACTTTTATTTAAGTCGGCAGCTGCTGCCTCTGATCTGCCTACTTACAGCTGACATCAGAAGTGATTCTGCAAGTCAATCACAATGCTTTCCCATAGGATTGGCTGAGACTGTCAAGGAGGCAAATCAGAGGCAGAGCCAGGACAAGTTAAACACAGCCCTGGCCAATCAGCATCTCCTCAAAGATATGAATTGCATCAATGCATCTCTATGAGGAAAGTTCAGTGTCTGCATGCAGAGGGTGGAGATACTGATGGCAGTACTGCACAGTGTGCAGCACTGCCCCAGGAAGCACCTCTAGCAGCAATCTGAGGAGTGGCCAGTGGAGTTATCACTAGGCTGTAATGTAAACACTGCATTTTCTCGAAATACCGTGTTTACTAGAAAAAGGCTGAAAGGGAATGATTCTACTCACCAGAACAAATGCAATAAGCTGTAGTTGTTCTGGTGACTATAGTGTCCCTTTAACATTACAGGGCTGATTCTAATAAACATCACTGTCAAAACCTCTCAGTGAAAAATACAGCATTAAACAAATGCAACTGTGTCTAACCCACGCTGGAACAATTTTTTTTTCTCTACAATAACTCATGGATTCAATGTACAGTGCACAGCATTTACTCTGTTCCTTTAAAAGATTTACAAAGACTACCCAATTTCTTACAATGTTTACCATCTTGTATAATAGCCACTATGATCTCACCTTTGATGAGGGACCAACACATTATTAATACCACCCAGCTTTGCATTGATCTTCAGGCAGAGGTTGGACAGTGTTTGTGGTGAAGTCTTCACTACATTTTTCACTTGCACACACTGGGTGGCCATTCCAAGAAGAGTATCCCCCACCCTTTTCACCTCCGCTAGAGCATTATTGGAGAAAAAAAGAATTAAATAAATAATCTACATACAAATGCACTGTACACCCCAAATACCTGGTGTAATACCCATTTTATCTTGCATGTTAACATCCCTCTGCATAGCAGTGTATAGTACACCACTGCTTTACTTCAGCATCTCTGTCTAGCACTGTGTAAGAAAGAGTCCTCTTCAGAAAAACATGTGTACAGTTTTGCAGAATTCGTTATAAAATTATACAACGTTGTTACGAAATCGGTCAGTGAGACAAGTTGAAAGTTTAAGATTGTTTATTAATTTCAGGCCAAGTAGCTTGGGTCTCTTATTTCTGAATGTCTAAGCAAAAAAAATAAAAATTAATTTTGACGTCTGATGTACTTGACCACCAAGTGTATAACCGACCATGTAAAAAAAAAAACCAAAAAAAAAACCACACGACCTGAAATAGCTAAACTGCAGCAGTTTGTAAAACCCCTATGAGGTCTGACCTGTTAGGCAGTGGGACACTCGAGTAAAGACTTCATGGAGATGTTTAAGGGTTGTATGCTGTAAATAAAAGTATTTACTAATTGACGGGGTTATGGAGACTTCATTTGGATCCTGATTAGTCCTGTTTGTATTTTAATTACAAAGTGCATCCTGAGTGTATATATAGCTATTGTGAGTACTGTTGCTTTATATTCGTTCCTGATTTTTCACTGTAATATCCTGATGACAGCATTGTCTTAACAGGAAAAGAAGTGTACCGTTTGTCTTTCACTGTATATTGTCATTATTTATAAACTCTCCAAATTAGTGTACATAGAGCCAAAATAACTGAACTACACCTGCTTCACCCTAAGAATATTTAACTAAAAAAAATTAAAGCCATGGCAAAACTTTTTCCCAGTTCTGGCCCTGAGTCAGACACACCATAGAAACATAGAATGTGACGGAAGATCAGAACCATTCGGCCCATTTAGTCTGCCCAATATTTCAAAAAACTTTTAATTCATCCCTGGCCTTATCTTAAGTCTAGGATAGCCTTATGCCTATCCCACGAATGCTTAAACTCCCTCACTGTGTTTGCCTCTACAACTTCAACTGGAAGGCTATTCCATGCATCCACTACCCTCTCAGTAAAGTAATACTCCCTGATATTATTTTTAAACCTTTGCCCCTCTAATTTAAGACTATGTTCTCCTTCTTTTAACCTCTTAAGGACCAAACATCTGGAATAAAAGGGAATCATGACATGTCACACAAGGGGTTAAATATAGTCTCCTCCTTTACTGTGTTGAATACACCATTCTGGGTGTATTAATGGGTGATCTACCAAATGCTGTGTAACATACATGATAAGTATGATATAAATGTAACAGTGTGTAACATACGTGATAAGTATGATATTTATAGCGTACTTATCACGTATGTTACACACTGTTGTAGCGTCTATAATATAAACGTCTATAATATATATATTTTCCCCAAAATACCGACACTCTGGGAGTTTTAAAGTCTTACATCCATGTCAACGTTTAAGCTCCTACACAGAACTTTCAGCAGGATAGGGTAGGTTGCTATAATGTATGCATATTCAGGTGAGTGCAGCCCTTTTGGTTTTATTTATATATTTGGTAAAGGCCAACGCCTTGGTTTTGCACCCCTCCCGTCACAGCACCCTATAATGTATGCATGTTCAGGTAAGTGCAGCCGAATGTGTGTGTGTGTGTGTGTGTGTGTGTGTGTGTGTGTGTGTGTGTGTGTGAGTGTGAGTGAGTGAGTGAGAGATATATATACACACACACACACACACACACATATACATATACACACACACACCCCTAATGTTGGTTTATTAATAGTGTGCACAACACCCAGGTTCACCCCACACCTTACCATAGACTGGTGTCTTTCCAGGTAGGATCACTACAATGAGCTGCAGACCCACATAGGTTAGCTTTAGATGTTTGAACATTGGTTCCACACTGTCTGCTCCTTGTGCATATTTACAAAAACATGGCTGGCCTTGGATGGGCATCCCTGCATCCTTTGATATTTTGCGCAGCTGGTCAGTGAAACTCCTGTTTGAGAATATATGTGAAAAACATTGGATGAAACACGGCACGACGTATTGGATGGAAGCTTGTTCAGTTATTCAAAGAAAATCACTTAATAAACAACTGTTAAAATTAAAGCTGAAATGGTATCTTTACGAGAAATGTCACAGTACAGTAGAACCCCCAAAAAAATAAGGTTGTCGAGGTCTATATAAAATATTTAAAATTCAGAATCAAGCAATCTAAAATCCTATACTACTAGTCATAAATAAAATTAATGTTACTTGACTCTGTAAACCAAAGTATGTTCAGCAAGAGTGAATTTCTACTTCACAGGGCTAAATATTCACAAGCTAATTGGGAGTGGAAATTTTAAGCCTTTACTGGAGCCAACATTCTATTAGTTTAAGAAGCTAAATACTGTATTTTAATGAATTAAGCTATTCACATGAACTACATATTCCATAATCCCCCTATTAGAGTGTTCAAAGGATTTGCACAGCTTTCTCATTGTAAACAAGATGAAGCCCTTTAATGAATAAGACAATCCACAACAAAATCCAGCATCTTTCAGTTATATTCAGTACCAGATATTTAATGTAAAGTTGGTCTATTTAAAAATTCTAAAAGCTGTACATCTCACATAGTGGACTGCCAGCTATACCCAATGCATTAGGAGGACCTTAAAATTGACCTACTGGAAGAAACTCCTAAAATTAAAACCTTCAAGTATTGTCTCAAAGTATCCAAATACTTGAAGACACTATCTCCCCAAAACTGAGTCACCCAATGCCAGATAATCAAAACTTACTTCAATAGGTCTTCTCGGCACTGCTTCTGGGGAGCAAAGCAAGCGACAGCCCAAACCTTGATCTCAATGCCAGCATAGAACTGCTTCCCTCGCATGTCCCACACACCTTGGTTTGGAGTGGCAACAGTTTTATTCTGGGGACCAAATGGTGAAAAGAAATTCTTAGTTACAACGTCGAAAACTTTAACCCCTTAAGGACAAACTTCTGGAATAAAATGGAATCATGACATGTCCTTAAGGGGTTAAAGGGAACTCTAATAAAAAAAATAAAAAAAAATCTTAGTCAAAGCTCTGCAAGAGATACACACACACACACACACACACTCTCTCACTCTGGCTCAAACACAATGTCTATTTGATAATTTAAGATTTAAGGTTTTGTTTTGGCTTTCTTGGCCATCCCATTCCACAAAACAATCATGAGTGTTAGACGAGCAAGTGGTAGATCAGAGGTGCCAAGTTGCTGACCTTACCCACAGCCAATCACCATCCTCTTTTGTGTATGGAATGTTAAAAACATTCTAAGAAAAATCATCTGTGTTGGTGACAGGAACTGGTCAGCAACTCCATTCACATTGATCTTTCATTGACTGAGCGTGTACAAGTAATAAGGTAATTGCCTTGTGATATGGCCATGGGTAGAATCACTCTGCAAATTGCTCCAAAGCTAACCCCACCCCTTTTTAGCAAAATTGTTAATTTTAATGTAGAGAAAACAGCATATGTATTACGACAAAACATATCAACTTAAGATGCATTGGTGCACCATTGAAGGATGAGAGAGGCAAGTACCAGAAGAGGACAAAGTATAAAGTAAACCTTGCAACCCTTTTGTTCCTTTTATTACATGTGAATCTTGTTTAACAATTACAAAGCTGTGAGCTGCAACATCAGTTCCTTACCCTGCCTCCATACTGCAGCATTGGTGCTGGTAACACCCGGCCTGTAAGCTCAGTCATTTCATTATGGACAACTATACCAAATTCCTTCAGGTATGGGTCTGGTCCTCCAACCATGCTATTACTCTTTACCTAAAGAGAGAGAAAAAAAAAAGAATATTGTAAATTACAATCAAGAACTGCTTCTATTTAGGAGGAATATTACATGGTTGTTTTAACAAGAAAGATTTCAGAAGTGATAAAGAGCACACATTTCAAGCTACCTGCCTTGGAAAACATTATTTTAGAACAAACGCCTTAGAACAGGTAGTGCTGTCTACCACAGCCAAGAGAGGACTCATGGGATTTTCATTTACTTTACAGTAAAAACTATACCTTGTGCTAGAAGAAGTGACATACATATGTTATTCTTCCTGATTGTCATGGCCCTGCATTATCCATATGGGATATGCCAACAGTGAAGTAAGATCTTCATTAAATAAACTTATTTTACAGTCTAATATCTACTTGTCACAGTACACTTACCAGCCGGCTGATCTCCTCCTGCCTGTCTGGAGCAGACCTGGCTGTAGCCTTGATCATGGTGGATGTCTGATTGTCAGTCAGCTTCTTGATGCATCGCTGGCCGGCCACAATGTTACAGACCTGAAGAGGCAATTTGCAGAGATGAACATGACTTAATGATTATCTATGTTCCCTAGAATATTCAGCTACAAGTCACAGAAATTGTAAATACTATATGTAGGTACTCAACTCCATGGCCCAAAACAACAAGTTAATCAAGACTAAAATTAAAGCAATTGATGAAAAAAAAATTCACATTCTAAATATATAGTTTTCTAATCCTCTTATATGGTCCATATATGATCTCCCATCAATCCATACAAATTAGCAAGGTAGAGATGTGCAGGAAGTTTAAAGATTAAGGCACCCATGACCTAGGATTATTCAAAAACCTGAATTTTTGTGAATGCCAAAATGGAGGCAAAACTAGACAAGACTGGAATATTGTTTAATTAGAGAATGGTTCCAGTTCAGCTAGATTTACCTCAGTGTTCCTGCTAGGATTATTCACTAAACTCCACATTTTTGTGAATTGATTCCCGATAATATTTGCAAGCACACAAACATAATCATGCAGTGTTTTTAAGATTAGAAACATCTACTTTTCTGTAGTAGCAAGCCTCTAGTAGGGATCGACCGATATTGATTTTTTAGAGCCGATACCGATACCGATATTCCGTGAACTTTCAGGCCGATAGCCGATATAATTTGCCGATATTCTGTACATTTACCATTTTGGAAAATAAAAACTATTTCTAAAGGTAAATGCACAAAATATACATGCCATGTGTAGTGGATACAGTGTGTTTAGACAGGGGAGCTGTATGTGTTTGTGTAGTGGATGCAGTGTATGTTTGTGTAGTGTGTGTAGTGGATGCAGTGTGTGTTTGTGTAGTGTGTGTGGATGCAGTGTGTGTCTGTGTGGTGTGTTTGTGTAGTGTGTGTATTTGTCTAGTGTGTAGTGGATGCAGTGTGTAGTGGATGCAGTGTGTATTAGTGTAGTGTGTGTATATAATGAAAGCAGAGTGATTGTGTAGTGTGTGGGTAGTGTGTGTAAAGTGAATGCAGTATATACTAAATGCAAAGTGTGTGTTTATGTAGTGTATATAACGAATGTAGTGTGTTTATATAATGCAGAATGTGTTTGTATAGTGTGTGTGTGTATATATAATGCAGTGTTTGTGTAGTGTGCATTATATAAACACACTATGCAAACACACACTGCATTAATTATATACACACTAAACACACTGCATTATATACGCACACCACACACTACACAAACACTGCATTGTATACACACACTACACAAACACTGCATTGTATACACACACACACTACACACACACTGCATTGTATACACACACTACACAAACACTGCATTGTATACACACACTACACAAACACTGCATTGTATACACACACTACACACACACTGCATTGTATACACACACACTACACAAACACTGCATTGTATACACACTGCATTAGAGTGTGTTTGTGTAGTGTGTGTATATAATGCAGTGTGTAGTGTGTTTGTGTAGTGTGCATTATATAAACACACTACACAAACACTACATTATATACACACACACTGCATTATATACACAGTGTGTTTGTGTAGTGTATGTGTATATAATGGAGTGTGTGTGTGAGGGGGGGCATTTATTACATTTTTTTTATATATATATTTAATATTTATTTTTGTTGTCCCTCCTCCCTGTTTCATACCTGGCCAGGGAGGGGGATATAGCAGTCCCTGGTGGTCCAGTGGTATTGGCTGAGCTCTGGGGGGGAGCAGGCATCAAGCGCTTACTCACCTCCCAGCAGCTCCTCCAGCTCCCCAGTGCAACTCTCGCGGCCAGCGTGTCCCATGGCAACGCTCGGACGGCCGCGGGTCTCGCGAGAGTTGCACTGGGGAGCTGGAGGAGCTGCTGGGAGGTGAGTAAGCGCTTGCTCTCCGCCCCCCCAGGACCGCCGGGCTTGTAATGAGCCTGGCGGTCCTAGGAGGTATTATCGGCAATATCGGTATCTGAATTGGCCGATACCGATATTGCCGAAAATACCGAATATCGGCCGATTATATCGGTAAAACCGATAATCGGTCGATCCCTAGCCTCTAGTATTACATAAATAAACGGATTCAAATAACTCCATGATAAAAGGGATGGCAAGCTACAACAGTATTGCACTTGTAGCTCCCATTATCTTCTGTAGATGAAGTACAACACATATAGATTAGAATTTTCCTGGCATACCCCATTTCCTAAGTGATTGCCACTTAGCTGCAAGTGACACATTCTTAATTATCAGAATTTCTTACAGACTTTCGCATAGAAATGCTAAAAAATAAAATAAAAAAAAAATAATAATATATATATAAAATTATACAAAATATCATCAACTTCTGGATGAACATAAATCATGAATAGTATATTTATACTGCAATTTTATGTAAACATTTTTGAAGTGAATAAGATACAAATCTTATTTTC